CGGCGCCTTTGTCCGCGGGGGGGGGGGGGCACGGGACGTGTTTACCAGCAACTCGGCGCTGCCCGCTTGGACGCGAGGCATGTGCCGCCCTCCCGCCCCCGGGCTCGGACACAGCAGCGGGCTCCGGGTCCCGCCCGCAGCTGCCCCTTCCCGTTTGCACTGGGGAGGTGGGATCTGGGAGAAAGGGCTGACTTGCCCCCAGCAGGGGCGAGCGGTCCTGCTTTCGAGGCAGGCTTTAGTTCAGCTGCTAACGCGCCTCCTGCAGTCAATCGCAGCCTGGGATCACTTCGAGTGACCCTCTGATGACTTGATCCAGTGAGGAACAACCGTTATTTGACTGCTGTTGCCTTAGCGGAGTCAGTGTCTGTAGGGAGAAGCCCTGCAAAGTTCTCTCTCTGTCTCTGTCTCTCTCTCTCACACACACCATTTTTGGCTTTTTCAATGTTCCATCAAAGAAATATTGGGATTAACCCAGGGTGTGGAAAGTACCACCTTTTGGCTTTTTAAATGTTCCATCAAAGAAATATTGGTATTAACCCAGGGTGTGGAAAGTACCACCCCGTACAGAGAGTTCAGTGCTTTGGGGATTAAGGTTTGATAATCTGTGAAATCTAAGTGCCCTTGTGAACGTTTCCTTTATGGTGCCTGGATGCTACACCCCAGGAGTTTTCTTATGGTGTTTATTATTCCAAACTAAAACCCTGCAAGGGAGATGCTGTAAAGATTGTTTGAGCCCAATAGCCCACCCAGGTTCATTGATTCTGCAAGCATTTTTCTCAAGATGTTACCAGTTTTGCCATAAAATGACACATTTAAGTTATTTATAGCGGAGCTATAAGGGTTCTGCTGCAACATGAACTACAGTAGTTTGCTAAGAGAAATTACCTTAGCTTTTTGTGAGAAAAAACAAATTAAATACTTTGGGATCCACCTGGATGTTTCAAAAACAAATAATTCCACACTAGAATCACAACAAAGCATATATTACTCTAATTTGCATATATGAGATAAAATGTGTGTATGGTTAATATCAGCCAGCTACTGGAAATGAAACTTTGTTCCTTCTTGCCCTTAGTAGGTGAAGTCTCAGACACAAGAAACACAGGTGCTTTAGTTAAATTCCCAAATTTTGCCAGTATTTCTGTGAAGAGCCATAATCTTGTGCCTACACACATCCAGAAAGAACACTGACTGTGAAGCAAGCCTCTGTACAGCTTTCCTGTTTACTATTTACTCTTAAAGCTACAAACTTGCCTTTGCCTTGAAGTGTGTGTGGGGGGGGTACTGCTATGACAATTTGAGACTTCTGTTTCTGGCCATGTCCTTTTTCACCTGTTAATTCCAGTCTTCTCCCACATTGTAACAGACTTTTTGAACAGGAGATGAATTCTTTAGGGAAGTAAAAAGGCTCTGCTTCTGCAAACATGACCCAGCTCATCCATGAAGAGTCCCATTAATGCCTGTTGCCTTTAAAAACATGATTGTTAGAATGTGATAATACAGTCCTATGCTCTAATTTCTCAGCTACCTCTGTTTCCCTATAAACCCCATGGACTTGATTGTTGGTCCACTTGTACAGATTAGTTTGAAGGATCAGAGCCTTAAACATGAATCTGCAAAAGTTTATCATCAGTCTTAGTGATTTCTTTTATAAATGGGTCCTTTTTACACTTTATTCTGTTACTGCTACAAAGAAGGGGAAAAATACCTTTTCCATATGTGTTAGGCTGAATATTACATTTCACCCTAGAATGACCAGTGATAGCCCAATTCAGGCATTAAATCCATACCAATGGACTTCTGTATTTCTACAGAATCTCTTCTGGATTGGTCCCAATTTTTTGTCAAGGATTCAGAAAAATTGTTTTTCTCTGGTTAGGAGTCTGAGAAGTTCTGACACTTCAGCTTGTGCTCTTAAGTAAAAATCTGAGTGTGGCTGCAAGAGCAAGCATTTTGATCCATGTTGTCAGGATACCAAATCTTAGTGACAATGCAATGCACATCTTTCCTTCTAGCCTAAAGCATTCACCCGCACTCCTGAGCTGTAGCTGAACAGTTTTCCTTTCCGTTCTTTAAAGGGTCTGCATTAAGTAAAAAAAAAATGTTGTTTATAAACCATTGTATGGAAAAATGACCGAATTAATTCAATTGTTAAACAGCAGAATAAGCAATTTCTTCAGAATAAATTACTGTGGGATGAACTGGGGAAGAATCTCATGGTTTTTACTCACTTAGGATCTGGTTTTGACATTCTTATTGTATATCCACTATTCACGCTGAAGCAGGAGAGTAGTAGGTAATGACAGGAACATTTGTTCCATCCTTCTTCCCCAAAGCACCAGCCCTTGCAGTTGAGTTGCCATGGAATAGGGGTTATAATCTAAAAAGGACCAATAGCAAATTTCTATTGTCTTGATCACAGTGTAGGATGGCAAATCTCTAAGGCATGATTTCTTACCTGCATTGCTCCTTGGCGGCAACAGCATCATACCACCTCACGCCCAAGGCAAATTGTGAAATAACAGTCTAGCCCATTGTTTCCAGGATGGGGCTCTAGTTTGTATCTTCACTTCCTGTAGTAGTATTCAAAACTGCTGTCTGAAAAACGCATTCTCCTGTGCTCAGAAAATACTAATCTGACAGTCTGTATGTCTTAGCCTTTCGAGTGTTAACCGATTACAGTAGTATATTGTTAGATACGTAACTTGACTGGCTTTCTCACGACCTAAAGAGCGCACAGAAAATAAACAGGGATCTATTGTTCAGTGGGGAAAGGCAAACGTTTTCTGCATAGCTCTCCTAATTAAAAAAAGATCATTTTAAAATAATTCTCCTGACTGTCACAGCAAAGACATGGCCCATGCAAACTCAAGTTTTACTGAAAGCAGGTCTGCTCTAAGGGTAAAGCATTTCTCCATAACTTTTGGGCAGGTTGCACGCATGCTGCAAGGTCCTGCCCAAATTTTCTATTTTAATGAATTTGGCTAGAGTCCATCCTAATTAATCCAGAGGGAGTATGAAACAATTGTTCTTTTGTAATTTTTCTTTTCACAATGTGTTGACCCAACCAAGGGCTATGTCTTCAAAATCCTCTGGGTCTCTTGCTGAACCTATTATACCAGTTTTGGTTTAACAGATGTTGTTTTCCCCTTCATGAGTGGAAAGGGTTATCTCACTTGCTAAAACCTTGTTTCGACCATTCTGCGTAGTCTAGATACGCCCTTGTTGTTGTGCTTTGTTTCAAGAGCCTGTGGACTTGTGGAATGCTGGGGGAAGCTTACTCAGTAGTTCCAGCTACAAAGGAAAGGTGAGGTCAGTCTCTCAAAAACTTTATACCACCTTTAAGATCCAAATGAGATTTCTACATAGATTGATGGGGTCTTTTTAACATCTACAGTAGGAATAACCTAAATATGTCTTGGTGCAATATATTGCTGATTACTGTAGGCAGTGAAAAATTACAACAGCACGTGTGTGTTGCCCAAGCATTTCATTTGTCAGTCAGTGATCACTCAGACAATATTAGATGGAAAGTACTACTGTCTCAGATTTTCAGAAGTGACTACTAATTTTGCATGCAAAAGACAGTCATATGTCTCAAAGTTGGCATGAAAAATATGAGACCTTTGTACTGACAGGCTCTCTTTTGTCTTTTCAACCTTTATGTTAATGATATTGCCACTTTAACTACACCAGTTTAGTTAAAATAACAAATCTTTTCCTAGTATGGATGCAGTTGTACCAATATAATTCTATTCCAGTTTGGGAAGATGAATAATCTTTGGTAAAAGGGACCTTTATACTGGAGTAAGTGTCCACACTAGGATCAAAAATCACTCTAATCATTGTATTGGTATAAGTTTTTTTTTTTTTTTTTTTTTTTTTTTTTGTATATTCTAGCCCTTAAGTTTTGCTTTCCTTACTGTCAGATACCAAATATTAAACTACTCAATATTCAATTAGTATTAACAATATGGAAACTGAGGCAAAGAGATTTTGACTAACCCACTGCCACACTCGGGGTGTGTCTAGACTACAGGGTTTTGTCGACAAAAGTGGACTTTTGTCGACAAAACTATACCTGCGTCCATACTGCCTTTGAGTTATGTCGACATAACGTCAACAAAACTCAGCAGTTTTGTCGACGTATGTAAACCTCATTCTACAAGGAAAAACGCCTTTTATCGACAGAGTTCTGTAGATAAAAGGCATTATTGCATCTACACTGTCCTTTGCGTCCACACTGTTATGTCGACAAAGCGGCTTGCTTTGTCAACAGAACTGGATGTAGTCTAGACGCTCTATGTCGACATAAGCCTGTAGTCTAGACATACCCTCTGTGTTGGTGCATATCCTGAATTAGAATTTAAGATTCCTGTATCTCCATCTTAGCCTTCCTCCACTGGACCACAGTATCTCTAAAATATTACTTTGTTTATATTCTTGCAGCATATTAACCACTGCCCTAAAAACCCACCTGCAAATATATGGTAGGACACAGACAAGCAAGGAAGATGGGGTTGAGCATCTATGGTATACTTATAGATCTGAGGGGTGGCTTAGAAGAGGGACATGGCATGCTTCGATGCGGAATCTAAGGAAGGCAAGGGAGGCTGCTAATGTGGAAGTGAGTGAGCAAAGCAGACCTGTAACAATGTGGTGGGCATCTGTTTACTCCAGCTGATGTGATCTTTATCTGTCTAAAAGTATGGTGGCCAGGCCAACCCAACCTTGTGGAGCTTGTACCGAAAGCCACCAACAGCATTTGTAAGGAGGGGAAAGTATTTGTTTACAGTTTGTTTTTTCTTTCTTGAATCCTGAGCTGAATGGCTAACCAATCTTAGTATGATTAGGGGAAGGCTAATGTATGTACAGGCAGACCCCGGGTTACGTACAAGATAGAGACTGTAGGTTTGTTCTTAAGTTGAATCTGTATGTAAGTCGG